CATGCTGTCAAAAGAAGGTCTAAAGAAATGAAACCACAGTGTAATATTACTGGCAATTAAATGAATCTGAGTAAATCACATGTCTTCCAGTGACTTTTTGTTGCTGAACAAATACCAAGAAGCATCTCAGAAGTTGCAAATATATGTCTTAGGTGAGCCAGTGTCTATTGAAACTCTCATCATATGTCACTTACGTTAAAGTACTTTATTATGTTAATAAAATAGTAACTGCTACTGTTCTATCTCTATGAAATATTGTTAGAAATTAAGTTTAAATTATACCAGTTAGGGTCCCACAAATAAGAAGTTATGACACCTAAATTCAGCTATCAAATCTGGATCTTTAAATATTTTTTTTACTTTATGGTATGTTACTCACATTTAGCAAAGGCGATAATTTCTAGTAGGAGTTTCGCAGTATCTGTGAGGAGGTTATCAGGAAGCTTCATCTGGGCTTTTCACAGAAGAGCCTGGCAGGAAGACTAAAAGCAACAAGCATAAGCTGAAAACCTCCAAGGGTGGAAATTGCATAACCTCTCTAAACAGCCTGCTCCACTGTTTGTCTGTAGAAACTTTTCCACACTGTGGATAGACAAGCAGTAAACCGGCTTATCCAGAAATGTCATGTAGTCACCTTCCTTGGAGGTTTCAACACTGACTGGGTAAAGTGCAGAGCAAACTGGTCTCATCCATGTGGATGCTGTGAACAGAAAATTGCACTAGAGACCTCCTGATCTCTCCCCACTTCAATTGTACTACGAGCCTGTGAAAGGTAGGAGAGTAACAATTTCTGTCAAAGTAATGTAAGTGGCTAGTTAAAATAAAAATAGCAATAAAGCCCTAATAAGTTCCTAGTGGTTTCAAAGGAAATTAAGATCTTGCGACAAGACCAAAAATTTCCTGTGGGGTATAAAATTTTCTATAATGTAGCAGCATGAACAAGGTAGTTTAGGATAGAATGTAAGCTTAAAAGCAAATTACAGATCTTATCTTTTCAAATAAGTGGCAGGGAAATGCACTTCTGTGAACAGGAATAATGCATAAGGTCTCTGCATTAAGAGTGTGTTAGGCAGGTTTAAAGAATTGAAGCTGTGCTTTAGCCTTCCTCTTTTATCTTGGGGATGCATTTTCTCCAAAGTGAATATAACTGAAATTCAGGTTAGGTTAACAGTCTCAGAAATTTGGGGTGGCTGAAGAAGCTTGCATATTGATTTAAGGTCTTAGGCTGAGGAAACATAGTGGATTAAAAAAAAGCTTTATGAAATATTTCTTTTGAAAACAGGCAGTTCCTTTATTTTCAAGAATAATTACAGGCAATAAGTGCATTTCTTCCTGTAGAGAAGTAAAATTACTTAAGTGTCTTTTCAGTGTATGTTAAGTTTTGTGTATATTATTCAATTACTAAATGATTGTACTGACTGACTGAATAAACAACTGAGAATCGATAGTGTATGATTCCCTTTGTATTTTTAGTATAAACATTAATGGTTGATAAATCAATGCAAAATGTGAGGAACAAAACTCTTACCAGATGACTCAATTTACATTGGCTAAAAAACTAAATTATTATGGTGGAATATTGTGTAATTGTAGGGTCTAATAAAAAATAGCTATTAGCCATTTCATTGTTTCTAATTGTATTTAAATTTTTCAATATTTTTAACAAAATAGGTAAGACAAAAGCTTTTCAGAAAATTGTCAGCAAAAGAAAATTCAATCCATGTTTATTTTTCCTTTCCCTAGTGCTATTAGTAGAAGCTATGAAATCCTTTTAAAATTCTATTTCCCCAAAATTATTGTGATTGTTTCTCCAGGTTTTATAGAGTTAATTTTCACAGAAAAAGGAACAATTTCTGCAAATACCAACTTTCTGTGCATGCTATGGCCATACGCTACTCAGCATTAATGTGGAGATTTCTTGCTGAAGTTATTTGTAGCTGCGAGCATAGATTGAATTCAATACAATTTAAAAATCTCTCTTCTTAAAGGATATGTACAAAATTTCAGCCCTGTGCAAATAAAAAAATGTCCTCCCTTTTTTTCTTTGAATACTACTTTATGTAAAATAGTCAGTAAACAAACTTCTTGGAAGTAAAATGTAAGTGAAGAAGCAAAGGTGGATGACTTTAGCCTGCCCTAGGCACTTCTGTACAGAAATAAATCAGGGATACCTGAGTTGCTGGTGAATGAGCATTCTACAACTGCACAGGGTAGCAAGACAGGGAAGCTTTATACATATGTGAATGCTTATCAATTGTTCCCACCTTGTTCAGGAAGGGGTTACGGTCAGGGCTGTACCTACCTGTGTCATGGTACTTTCAAGGGATGCTTTCCTGCCTTACTGTTATGATCGAGCTGAACAGGGCTTCACTGTTCAGCTGGTTTGGTCCAGGTTTGTCAGGAGTTCCTGAGGGGTGGTGTGGGGCAGGTAGGAAGAGGATGCACAACCACACCTTATTATCTGCAGTGCAGTCCTCTAGCACATAGTACAGTAGGCTGTACAACTCCTCCATTTTGCTCAGGACTGTGCCTTGTGTTGGAATGTCCTTGTCAGACTAACAATCTAATCGCAGTTGTAACTTTTAGCTGGTGAAGAATTTTCCTTTGTAGCAACTAGCTTACATACCTCACCAATTCTTGGATGATGTTATAAAAAATTCTTTCATCTCAAGAAAGAGTAAGTGCTGCTGTGGATTGTGTTTTCAGACAGATGTATCTTTTAATTCATTTAAAGAATAGAAGCATGCATATATTCAATATAAAAAATGGAATCATCGATCACTGCCAAGTGAGAAAAATAATCTTTGTAATGGAATTTATCAAAAAGCCATTTTAGGATATGCTAATTTTTTAATGTTGTTAAATGTCAACTGATAAAATACTGATTTTACACCATTCCTCCTCTATTTGTCCCTAGAAGTAAATAAATGAGCATTCTCTTCCTTGTATATCTCCATTATAGCTGTGTATGGGAGAAACTGGTACTAAACTTCTGGAAACTTGGCCCCTGCTTTCTCATAATTACAAATTACTCTTTTCAGAATGAAAGAATTTCCAGGAGAATTGAGCATTTTGGAGATAAAAGATATTAACAAATGTTGCATGTGGTAGTGTTACATTTTTAAGTTAGTCATTTCCCCAGTTATTAAAGATTCCGTTGCTGTTGTTGTTGTTAGATGCTTAATTTTCGTACAGTGATATTTTAGTTAAGGAATATTGAAACAGAGATTCTCAGCTCTGAAGAGAATCTTGAGATGTCAAGTTATGTACATAAATTATATCTGTCCTCTCTGGTTGGGATATCTGTTTTATTATATCATATGAGACATATAATCTCTTGATCAGTTATTTTTCTAATTTCATCTGCAACTTGGCTCCACAAGAGATAATTACAACCTATATTAATTTGTATATGGTTATGTTTCCATCTAATGACCTAGGGTTGGATTTTTTATGGTATTTATTAAAAGAAATAATTTGTTATTTATTAAGGTTCTGTTAATATAATAAGACAAAAATTCACATCTACCAACAGCCTTCCAAAAGATCTAATTTATCTGTCTTTGAGAAGATGCCTCTTCTGTAAATTTCTAGTCAGTTCCCTTTAGACTCTTAGGTTAAGGTCTGCTACTTGCCTCACAAACTAATAACTTGTGTTGTTATATTTTAGATATCTCTACATGTTGACCTATAACTTTTAATTCTAATTAGTTTTAGTTTCTTTACCATTTTCTTTCAATATCAGCTGGAATATCATCAATAATATGCAATCCATAAAAAGTCATCCACTGTGGAATTAAACCTTGCTTTTTTGATTCATAAGTTCTTAATACCAAAGGAAATGAAGTGCATGTAATTTTTTTGACCAGTTTACCCTTACCAAAAAAAGTGAACAGTGGAACAGAGTTTTTCAGTGTAACTGAGAACAGTAGATCTAATTACATAAATGGTCATAACAAGAATTGACCATAGAAGAGTTTTGTGTAAGGTGAGAAAGTAAAAAATAAAGGGAACACTGAAATGCTACATCGCATGGAATTTTGGATGTTACACAGTATAGACAACACCAGATGGGCAAAAAGTACATAAATGTATGAATTTACTTTATTTGGAATAATATCTCTTTATCTTAAAACAGGCATTCTGAAAATAGTGTAATTAGCAGCTATGTTAATTGGATAGGTTACTTGGGTAACAGTATTCCATGGTAGCTATACCATTTCTGTCATTACATACCATTATATGCATATGGTTTATAAGGAATTCTTAGTTTACAGCTTTCCAGGTCTTGCACTGTAAACTTTCTCGCTCTGAACTTTCCTCTTATGTGCACACACACACATACACATGCACACATTTGCAGGAGTGTTTCAAGAGCTGTTGACAGAGATTCTGTAGATTTTTTGTCACTCTGATTTCCATTAAGTTCTGATTAAAAGAATAGCATAGGGCATTTACTAGTCTCCCATGATTTATTCCTGTCATAACTAAAACTAAATGATAATTGATTTTTGTTTTAAAATAGTCTCCATTTTTGAACAGTTTTAATCCTAAAATATGAAGAACTGCCTCCTGGCCCCTTCTTTGCACTTATACTAGCATAATCACATCTGCTTCCCAAATGTATTTGCTTCTGAAGAACACAGTGAAGGAGTGACAAAGAGAAGACGTATGTTGAAATGCACAGTTAATAAAGTTTTAAAGTATGTAATAATGGATGTTCATGCTTTCTGCAAGGTGCAATATTTTTCTTCACTTGTATCTCTGTATTAGTGCTTTTAATTTTTTCTAAATGCTATGTCAGTTTAGCAAAGAGGAAGTAGAATAAATATGTTATCTTATTTTTAGGGAGAAGAGAGTTTTAAATTTCAGACAACCTAGTACAAGAACAAATATTCCATACAAAGTTGGTGTTTTGCATAATCTGCAAATTGATTGTCTGCTTCAGCCTGTTTCTTCTGACTTATGGCCTTTTTCTCTTTTTGTATTTCTGTTAACAGAAAGCTGACCTTGCAGTTGCACCATTGGCAATTACCTATGTTCGTGAGAAGGTCATCGACTTTTCCAAGCCCTTTATGACTCTTGGAATAAGTATTTTGTACCGCAAGCCCAATGGTACAAACCCGGGCGTCTTCTCCTTCCTGAATCCTCTCTCCCCTGATATCTGGATGTATATTCTGCTGGCTTACTTGGGTGTCAGTTGTGTGCTCTTTGTCATAGCCAGGTAACATGTCAACTTTTGTGATTTTTTTGGCAATTGTTACCATTTTTTTCTTACTAATAATTGTCAAAAGTCACAAAAATTTTCTTACTTTCATACTTTTATATTTAAACTTCATTATTTACAGAAGAATAATGATGAGGGTTATCACTATTAATATTAATAATATTAATATTAATTAATTAAAATAATATTAATTAATTAATATTAATATCTCCACTGCCATACTGCCATACTAAGTGGACTTTTCCCCTGAGTCTTGAGTACGCTAGTTAGACTTCTTCTTTTATTTGCAAATATAGAAACACTAGAAAGTTCTCAAAATATCTTTTCCCAGTAAGTCTGCATTTAGAAACCCAGGGTTTGCAAGTTTTGTTACCCTGATTTGTTTTCTTGCTGTGGTTCTCAATCTCAATTTGAGTACTTAGCTGCCCACACTAATTCTACATTATCAAAACTAGGCCTTTACCAGCTGCAAAATAGTTTGTGTAGATTAGTATCTTTGAAGTAGGGTAAAAATATTTATTTTTTAAATTTTGTGCAAGGTGAAATTCCTGAAGTACTTCCCAGAATTTTAAGTCTCTGAATGGAATGTTTTTGGAAGCTTAGTTGAACCCTTGGAATTAAGGAACTTGATGCATCAATTGTTAAATTATAAATTGATTTGATATATCGGGCTCACTTTTTGATCTGTTTTATTTGACCCAAATGAGAAGAAAAGTATATCTTGTCAAAAAATCCCAATATGTTTACCTTTTCCTTCTTTACTCATTAGGGCTGAGTTCAGATGCTCACATAAATACAATGAATGTAAGTTTGGCTCTCTCATGACAACAAAAGGAAAAAATAGAATGTAATCTCTTTCCCCCCTTTTTCTTTGCAAGTAGTCACTTGCAATATTTTTTAATCAAATGTATATAACTATATTGGTTTTTATCTCTTTAATAAGATGGGTTCTTTTTGTTTGAGCTGATAATGAAATCTCACTTCAGCCCTGAGATTTTTTGTGATTTCATTCTGTGGTTCACAGAAGATTCTTCATGTATTTCTTTTTTATATTGTGCTGTATTCAGTATCAGGATTCTCCATCTGTCTTTGGTACTCTCTGTTTCATTTTGGAGCAGTTGTATCATTCCTATATTAGGGAGAAGCAATATTTTTAGAAACCAGTATGAAAGTAATTTAGCACCTGTAGATGAAGTACATGTGGTATTGAATAGGATAGATAACACTGAAACATATTTTGTAATTAAAGACTTTACTGTGTACCTTTTATAAAAACCTGCTTTAAAGAGACAGAGTTAGGTTGGAAGTTTCTTGAAAGACCCCTATGTTTTAGTGGACTATATAATCAGAGTGTACAATAGTTTCTGAGGTGTTCCTGCCATACGGATACCTCTGAAAGCACAGCTGAGAATAAATCACAGCTGTTATCCTGTGAAATGCCTCACATAAAATATTTATGCATATGTCCGAAAGTTTTAACCCTGCTGTTATCACTGAAGGACATAATCAGCATGATGCACGGTGCTTTTGACAGGTAGCTCTTGGTAATGTTAGTAGGATTTGTATGGCTGGGTTTCTCCTTATGCTTTGAAAATGTGCCTTGACATATTTTTTAGGAAAGGTAGATTTTCTTAAATCCAAGCCTCTCTATTTTTTTTTAAATTTATTTTTTAATTAAGCTATTTGGCCGATTGAGCTCACTAGCAGGACAGGAAGGAATATTATTTTTTATATAGAAACAACAGATAATAGACCAATAATGCTGACTTGTTTTTACTTGTCTGTTTCTGTGATGAGCACCATAAATTCCTTATGTAATTGGAAGCATTATCTGCATTGTAAAGCAATATGGAATATGTTTTATAGTGAGCAGAGAGGTTTTGTTTTTTTAGAACTGTATCAGATACCTTTTTTACACATAAATTTTTACCAGCCTTCATATCTAGGCATTTTCAATATTTCTTAACCGGTACAATCAAATATTGATAACACATTTAAAAGTAAAAGATGTAGGATCATGTAAGAAAATCTACAGATTTTATTAATAATGCAGAATGACTTAATAGCGTGCAATAGCATTTTCCAACACCATTGCTTGTAAAAGGAAACAGATCTAAATTAAAAGTCGAATTTCCTGCTGAATACTAAGCAGCAAGAAAGCAGAACACTATTCAAAAGTTAAAGACCTGTTTGCAAATACAACTCAAAACTTTTATCTGTCATGTAAAGAGAGATGCTCTAAAGTGTGGTAGTGAAGTTTCTTATTAAGATTTCAATTCCACAACAATCCTTCCATAATGGATCTTAACTACCAGTGTTCCATAATAATTACTATGTGTTTTATAATAAGGTGTGCCTTTGTTTGGAGCAGTACTTAGTATGTCTTTTACAATATAATGTTTTGTAATTAAAGCTTATCAGAGTGTTCAGTACAGAATATTTATTTTAAAATTGAAACCTCCCATTTTTGTGTCAAATCTTTTGTGGTATTGTTGTTTCACCACATCTTCCTAACAATGTTGACATGTAAGTGTTTGGTACATTGAAAATGGAAAGTACCATTTTGTACCAAGTGCCACTTGGATCTCATGCATTAATTAGTGGTAGGGTGATATTTAAGGAGAGATGGAGAAACTAGTAAAAGGTTCAAGAATCTTTAAGAATGAATTGTTGAAAATACTTCCACAGAAATAGAAATATAAATCTATATCAGTCCTTTTCTTTATTTACAAAAGCATTGAAGAAACATGTGTAAAGAACTGTAGTCTTCACACACTCAATAAGACAACAAGCTAGGAAAGATTTATGTGTTAACTGGAGGGCTTTTCTGTTTTATTTCCCATTTTATTTCCCATTTCCAAAAAGACAATTTTACTTTTGAAGAGATGTTTTGCATTGTGGGTAGGATTAACCTATACATGTTGTACACAGTGTTTACTTTAATTGTCATCCTTTGACTCTGCTTTCTCCATAGATGTAAAAACCTCTTAATCTTGTTTGTTGCTGCTATTGAATCTCAGTAGTTAGGGTGGTTAGCCTCTGGAAGTTCCTTGTTTTGTTGTACAGACTGATAACTGATATACAAACCCAGTCTGCTTGACACTAAGCCTGTTCATTTTCTGTGAGCTGAGAAATTCATATAGTATTTTTTTCCTCTTGTGGCAACAGTAATAGAACTTTCTGGTGCTAGATAGCATTGTCTTTTTGTGTCTGCTAGCAGTGTCTTGTGTCATCTGAAATCCTGCTGCATTCCAATACCATAACTTTATGCCTCTACCTTTATTAGTTTCTTTGATATAGAATACCAGTTAAATTCACAGTTTAGATATGATTAGATGGAAAACTAAGACCTCAGTAAAGCACACCAGCTGGTTTTTTGACATCTGTCAATTACACAGCATTTTCTGATCTGTATAATCAAAAATCTCAACAAGCGGAATTTCTTTTTATTTTTGTCTGTTGCTGCAAACCATTGTTCCATTTCTAAGCCTATTGGCTGTTTTCTTACGTTGTTGCATATCAACTTCATAGACACATACTGTCCTTTCTTTTCCATTGGTCTGTGTACAAGAAAAAGGCATTTTCTATTTTTGGCCTGAAAAATCTAGTATGTTGGTAACTGGAGGATCCCTCCCTTTCTATGTAGGCAATATGGAGAAAACCAGTTTTATGCTCTGAGAAATGCTTAATGTGTTCTGTATACATAGGTCCTCCTATAAAGTACTTTCAAAATTAATCTTCAGCTGTGTTTTCTTAGGATTATATTGTATTTTTGAGTCTCTTATCCATAATTTTAAACATCCATGTCTTTTTGTGTCTTTTCTGAAAGCATAGATTGGAGACTAAATTCCTTAAATATTTTTGTCAAATAATTTTATGCTTAATTTATTGGATTTCAAGTTATTCCCTGAACACTGATGGATTTCTCTGTGTAGTAAGGTCTTTTTTTTTGCTGTGGACATATCTGTCATAAAGAAATTTACTCTTAAGGGACCTGTCTTTAAAACTGGAAGAGATACAGCTGCTTTAGCAAAGTGCTTCATATTTACAGATCAGATGTGAAGCAGATAACCTATCATGGATAAAATTGTCCACTATTGAGCTCTTGTGCTTCTTACACTGAGCTGTCTGAAGTATCAGTGAATATTGTGAAAATATGCATTAAACTGTGCTCACTGCCATAATTGCTAATTTTGAATCATGGGTTGACATTTTAAAGGGCTTATTTGCCTTTAATTGTAACACATTTTTTATGCTAGGACTTCCTGCCTTATCCTCCCTTTGGAATAATGCTTTTCTGTGAAAACAAAAAGTAACTGTGCCAGCCTCTGGAACACTGAGTTTTTTTGTCAAGTGTACCTGGCAGATTGCATGACAAGAATTTTTCTCTCTCTTTGATGACATTTTAAGCTTTTTTTATTAATTGATATATTTTAGTAGCTATACCAAGAAATCCTTTGTGAGAATGTTCTAGAAAACTTACTTGCGGAACTAAATTTCTTCTCCTTTACATGAGAACTGAGATATTTTAATTTTAAAATTCTAACATTCAAATGAAGTTTCAATTAATAAGGTAATATAAACAAGATAAAGAAATTATATCTTAATTTTTTGCACTCATAAACAAATTATTAAGAACTTGTTTTTTATTTAATCTATCCTACTAAATGTTATAATGATGAAATTGTACAGTCATCTTGTCTGGACAGCAGTCACTAGAAATTTTGTGATCAAGACTTGTCCATGTTATTTCACATATACTCAGATACTTCTAAGTAAGCTTTAAATTTGCTAAATAGTTTACTGTGCTGTATGCCATTTAGATTAGCATAAATATATATAATTAGTAACAGTATTTGAGTAATTTATAATTTTCTATGGCTAGCACACAGATTTTATAATCCATCTCTTTTCTACATAAAAAATGCAAAAAAACCCTGAAATTATAATTCCTTCTCATAGTCATCATCTAGTTTGTATAGTTATTTTGAGAAGTT